ATATATATATATATATATATATATATATATATATATATATATATATATATATATATATATATATACGCCTATTCCAAACGTCCCATAAAGAGGTAGCAGCAGAGACGTGCACGAGCCCAGACAGCCTCAGAAACGAATCAGAAATCTCACTTTGACCATTGCCTTTGAAAAGCCCTGCAGCGGGACCTCTCGGTTTTGTCGGTTTCCCTGGGGGGTCTTGGGGCGTTGTGGCTCTGCGGAAACCCCCTGCGGCTGCTGCAGTCACACAACCCTCACAGGCACCTCGTGAGTTTTGCTTAACAGGGGAAAGCAACGGCTGCACCTGTCCCGCGTATGCATCCCTAAACCCTAAACCCTAGACAGGAAACGCGAACACCATGCAGACGATGCGACGCGCGGCACGTTTCCTTGCTTGAAAAAAATAAAAATAAAGAAGTAGTGGCAACCACCCAGATGATATGAGCATACATACAGAGATAACATGAAACACGTTCTTGTGTGTTTACAGATACAGAGCTACTGAAACTGAAATCGCGGAGAGAAATGTATCATTCAAGTCCTACAGCAGTCGAGGATCCCGAGGACCCCGAGGAGAGGAAGTTCAAAACGTCTTCTTTTGTTATCGCACCGCGCGGGCCTGTACCCTTCACCTTCTCCAAGTCAACGCCCTTCTCCTTAGCCAGTCTGCGTACTGCTGGCGAAGCCAAAGCCTCTCCGCTCTGCGCATCAACCCTCAACCCTAAACCCTAAACCCTAAACCCGAAAAACAGGGAATTTCGAAAAGTGACGCTTCGGCAGAAGAAGAAAGAATAAACCCAACAACAAAGATAGACACAATTGTGCCGTTCATCGTCATGCAGCAAGCCAAGCTGCTTATCTTATACTAATCAGTTTCAGCAATGAACTTCGCCCGTGGGTGTTCAGAAACACAAAATAAACTCAAGCAAGCGTTCCAGCTGTCAGTTTGCACGAAAACAAAACGTGTTTCATATCAACAGTCTGTTATATACATAAGTATATTCATCATAAATGTATTCATGCATGCATGCTTCATTTGTTCTGACGTTTCACTCACCCTGCTTGAGGGAGCCGCAGCTGTCGTCTGCTGCGGCTGCTGAGGTTTCTCGGGAGGTTTTGAATCTGCATCTGGCGGCGGCGGGCTGTGGGCGTTTGCATCTTCTTCTACATCAGGAGAGTCGATGTCAATAAGGGGGCCCCCAACTTTCACCGTATCTCCTTCCTGCAATAAAACAAAACAAAATAAAACAAAACAAAGATGAAATACAATTAAACTGCTCATTCATGCATTTCTTTTCTCGCCTATGCTGCATTTATGAACGATCTACATATCAACAGCTCCGCTGCTGCGCATACAGTAGAGTGTATTATATAAAAACTCATTCTGAATACTTAACTGGTTAATATAAACAGTGTTTATGTTGCTTTCTGCACTCAATTGACCTACCTGAGCATACAGCTTGAGGATCTTGCCGGAGTATCGGCTGGTGATTTCAACTGCCGCTTTGTCTGACTGCACTTCGCACACCTCTTCCATCTGCATTTCAGAGCAATACCAGTTGTTTCTGCTATACATGAGTTTATTTTATTTGTTTATTTCTTCACTATTATACTATTATTGCCCTTCAGCTTAAAATTCGCGTTGGCTGTTGCCTGTGCCTTCCAATAAAACGTGGCTTTCTTACAAACACCCACAAAAAAAAACGAAAAGTATGTATTCTATATCATCATCACCACACGCAAAAGGGTTAAGCAAGAAGCCGCTTCGCGTACCTCCTCCACAGTATCTCCCTCCTTCTTGTACCACTTCGTCAGCTCCACCGCCGCAATACCTANTCGCGTACCTCCTCCACAGTATCTCCCTCCTTCTTGTACCACTTCGTCAGCTCCACCGCCGCAATACCTAAAAAAAACAGAAAAAAAAAAGGCTGTTAGGACACCGAGTCAAAACCCTAGCCTCTCTCTATACACAAGATAGAAAGGGATCTGAATCATATGAAGGATGATATTGCCTGCAAAAGAGCTAAAACCCTAAACCCTAAACCCTAAACCTTAGACCCTATTACGCAGCTCAAGAGCAGATGTATCCACTGACCTTCTCCTATGTCTGCAAGCTTGAAACAGACAACGGCTTGGCGCGGCCGAGACATGCTGAAGATGCCCTGGTGCAAGAAACGCATTGATACGAACGCACCACAAAATATGCACGAGGATCAGAAAAGAAGGGATAGCAGAAACCCACCCAAAACGTACAGCCCACCAAAGCACCGCAAATACAGCTGTTGTAGTGCACCTTTCGGATGCACGGGCAACGGCTGCTGCCTGACAACAGACCCTCTATATCTACATAATAACAAATATCCGCTTAAGTGCCCTCAAGCCCCAAAATGCGCATGCATGCGCATGCATGCGCACATGTGCATACACATCAGTCACTAGGCCCCAACTAACACCCATCTAGGCAATCGTATCCGGCCCAGGCAAGCGTCAGGTGAAGTCAGCTCTGCATGCAGCGACTGCGGAAGTGCTGCTGAGTGCCGTTTGGCGCTATGCACTCGACTGCAGGGGACCAGCAGAACTCGCTAGGCTGCGCAGTGACCCCCGATTAAGCTGTTGCTTCCCGCCTCAGTTACACGCATGCAGAGGTATCTAGAAGTCTGTGGCAAGGCTTGTGCTCTTCGCCTTCGCAAAGGTTTGCTGCCTACCCGAGCAGAAGGCATCCTGGGGAGGCCCTGGTGGGGGAGGCGCACTCCCGCTACGGATGCTGGTAATAGAAAAGTGCTGAAGCCGCCGGCATTTGAAGTATATGAAGTGGCAGCGGCCATGCGGCCCACAGAACGCGCGACAGATGCCATCTTCGGGGTGTATGTGCAGTGATACCGGAAACCGCCGCGACTGGGGCGATAAACTCCGTATCCACCTCTAAATCCAGGGTGAATTTACATTCAAGATGATAAATACCAAAGATAGAAAAGAAATATATACCTTTTACTGGGGTTTTGTTGAGGTCTTCTGACCGCCTGGGCTTGCTCGCATACGACGGGACCGCTATTGCGCCCTGTGCATGTGCTGCCCTCGTTTCACTTCACTAGCAGACTGTTTCACCTCTGTGTCTATATTTGTTTGTGTTTTTAATCGATTTATCTGTAAAACAATGCGCATGCATAGCGTTTATCTGGCCTGTGAGGTTCTCACCCTTTGCCCTCGCGGCGTTCAGGGTTCGCTGGAGGTGCCACGGCCGCCTACGTTGTCATGCTGGCGTTTCCGTTGGAGTTGCACTTTTAAAAATCCTTCGTACTCACACAATAGCCTTATATAGGTGTATCAGTTCAGAGAAAACGGCCATATAAGGAACCAAACTGATTAAGGTGTGTAGGGTAGTCATGTCTACTGCGGGCGGTTGTTGCCATGGAGTTTTGCCATGTAGTATGCTCTCCCTAAACTTAGCGCAGGAACATTCACTTGGCAACTGCTATTAGGCTGCCTCTTCTCCCCCAACGCAGTACGGACCTTAGCAGCAACGGACGAGCCACACGATGGGTTCCTCTACCACGTGTTAGTCACTCGCAACCGACCGAACTTAAAAACAAATACATACTAAGTAGTAACATATATAAATCGATTCATGCATGCACCAAACCCGAAAACATTTGGGAACTGTGACTGGATCGGATCCCTCAGACCTTGGTCTGAGGGGTCCGACGCCGACGCCTGAGCATCAGTATAGAAGCAATCCCCAGTCTATCTAAACGAAAACAGAAGAACCACTGGGGAATTCGTTTCTAGCAAAAGAGAGTCAATGAACACGAACGAGGCGAGTGATCCTGGGGATCTGCAAGCTCTCGTCCTTAGTGTTTGCTTTGGGGGGGCAGTCGACGAGCAAAAATATGAAAGCATCCGCTGGGCGCTTTCAATTTGTCTGACTGCGTGGTCTCTGCTGTATATGTGTGGGGACTGTGCTTCTTTCAGAATCGAGGCCTTCTCACTCTTCTGAGGAGCGGATATACCAGCTGCAGTGCAGTATTGATTTTTTTGTGGTCGGTCGTTAGAGTAGAATAGCGACACATGATAGTTGGACCTCGTTGCCTTTTTTTGTGTTGTTCGGTACTTTTGCGGGTTTCTGAAGTGCAAATTCGCTGTATTCCTTTGCCTATGGTGTGCCATCATTTTTATTTGGAAGTGACAAAACCAGAGACTACTTTTGTGGCTTGAGAACGTTCCGACTGTTTCTATTCAAATGTTCACGCTTTGGCTTAATTGCAAGTTCACCAGGTCTCGATCCGCACTTTTATCATCTACGTTGAGGGCTCGGTCTGCATCCAGATCCAATTGATATACTAGGCATATCTTGACGCCGTCACGGCCGAGTCGTTTGTTATTAGACTTCTTTTTAGATTCCAAATGTGCCAGCGCTTCCCTCGTCCATCCGTCCCATTGCAAACTCCAACTAATTCTTCGAATCAAGTTTGTCTAGCTGCACTTCACCTACACTAGCCGCCGAGGCACGTTCATTGAGCTGCTTTCTCGCACCCATCAGTTCGCATTTTACAGTTTGTAGACCCAGAGAAACCATCTCCAGCCCTCAATGCACGATCTAAGCTTGTCTCTTATCAATGAACAGCTCCTACCGCGTCTTCACTAGGTGTCAGAGCGCGGATAAGTCTCGACAGAAGATGTTGACGGCATAGTCCCCATCAACTGGCTATCGGAAGTCATTCACAGCAACTCAGTTTACACTGTTGAAGTCTTAATTATCACGCGTTCGTCTCTGTAAGCAGTGTATCCTCACTCTGCACTCTGTAGATACTATCGTGCACTGAATAGGCCTTTAATCACGCCTGGTGACGTGAAAGCTGACTATACTTAGGAATGCTGTTGCCTTCTGTAGATCTCGACACACATCTACTGGGTCTCAGATAAGTTTGCAAGACCCGCATTCACACGCTTTATAGAGGCAACAACCTTACCTGCTTCGCCTGCAGTTCACTAGGATGCTTTTTTGTAAAACCGTGTTCATTAGAATCACGTGGAATACATTGGGGCTGGATTATGGTTTCCGAGCTCTTTTTGCATTCTATTCACAGTAACTTTGCCTTAAATTCACGTTGGGGAGGCCACTGTTCGAATCACTACGCATGATTTAACCTTCATTAGGTCAGAACTCATGTTCACTAGGTACAACTTATTCGGCCGTTCTCAATTCATATTCTTCTGTCCAAAATCCACATCAACTAGGTTTACTTCCACACTTGCTAATCCTGGCAGTAGTTCATTAGCAGTGCGGTTGAGTATGCCCTGATGCTGTAGCAGTGCTAAGCCCTTAGGGAGCACCAATTCCATGTGTGTCACCGAGCATTCGCTTCATGCGTCTCAGTCGTTTCACATCCCATATCTCCGCCTTCTAGCCTAAACACTTGCTTCTTAAAGTATCAATCAACACTCACTATTACGCTAGTTTTCTGGGCATAACCAAGGACAGAAGCGAGCCGCGACGAAGGTGAACACATCAAGTAAGATTTTCCGAAAGCATCTGACCTTTTTCTCCTGTCCCCAGGTGTCCTGTGCGTCGAGCTCAGGGCCTGGGTGTTGGTTTTTGAGGGGAGAAGGCAGCCTCAATGGAGTTTCAGCGCGCTTCGCTGCGGCTGGTGATGCAAGCCAGCCTCACGTGTGCACACAAGGAAGCTCTAACGAAGCTTTCTTTACTGCACGCTTTACCTCTGTATACGCTTATGGAGCGTTGCACTCACTTGGAGGCGACCTGCCAAGGCCAAGTGAATGCTCCTGTGCTATCTATAGACACACCAAGCTACGCTGACTGGTTTTCTGTGCCTCAAATTTCTACTGAGCGACTTGTATTTTTCACAAAATTCAAGGTTTTTTGGTGATGTCGTACTGCGCACTCCACCAGTTAGCAAATCGCATATATAGCGCGCGAAATCAACCCCGCTGGTCGCCAGTCTGCAACTCTCGCGTTTCAGGTTACACGTGTTCGTTCCCACGCCCAGATTGCCCAGCCTGTCGCAGTGTGTCTAGCAAATCATCGTGTAAATATGATGATCACACATGTCTGAATAAACAAAGAACGAAATTTAACCAGTTAACATTCATTATTCCTGCTTGAGGAGCAGTGTTAACTGGGTTTGGTTCCCAGCCAGTGGCGCCGCTCTGGGCGTCGCCCTAGAAGCCCAGAGCAAGCAAAACAAGCCAAGTCCTTGCACACCTCTGTGTGAAATCATTATGGTCTGTATCTCCCGTTGTCGTGGAGACTATAAGGGCGGCCCGTTTCAATTGTTTTGCCTGCCGCCAAAGCAGCATATTTTGTTTTCTAGTCGGTGGCTAGAGGATCGTCGAGCCTCTAAAGTATCCAGCGGACCAACGGAGCAAAGGTTGATCCGTTAACTGTGACACCCACTAGAAGCCAAAATATGGTAAACGAACTGCTGGCAGATCCGAACGAAGCAAATGAGGAGCTCGACAGCTCCACCTCATCCAGCGTCGCCGCTTACGAAGCCGGACCGTGGCGAAGTGGTGATGGTCGACTCACAGCAGAGGAAAAGAACTTGATACTTTTCTATTCTGCGAGCAGCCTGATAAGGGATGATCAAAATGCAGGTGAAGATGGTCTTGCGCCGCAAGAAGGGAAGTTCTCTGATGGAGGAGGCCGTCATGCTGCGTTATATACGAAGTGGATCTACACACTGCCGTTGCTATTGGTGGGTTTGGCAGTGTTGATGGCATCAAAAAAGGCCAATAGAATGCTCATGAACAGGATGATTCGTTCATCTGCGGCTGATTGGGTGATTCCATTGAGCGCTCCATCGATGCCAAAAGTGACTATGCGGGAACTTGTACTGTGTGAATGCCAGTTGAGATCAAATGCGTCGGAATTTCAAAACTTGTGGCAAGCAGCATCTCCAGTTGTACAGGCAGCCTTTACAAAGTATTTCGTACCTTCAACGGAATATGATCGAGCCGCCGTTCTTGACCCATTGAAGCTATACAATAAGCACATAAATGCCATGCTCGGAGCTCCACGACCCCTTGCCAAAGATGTTAGGGCCCTTCAGGAGCACAAACTGAATCTGATTTTGTTAAATGGAGTTTGCAGCGCCGCATCAATGACCCTGAGAAAGCTAGCGGAGCTGGAAGAGCTGCATGCAGACACCGGTGTACCGGTGCCTGTGCTGGGTCTGGGGAAACCAATGGACGTGTTGCTGTTGGAGCGGATCATGGAGAGAAAGAAACGGGGGAAAACAGCTGCTGAATTGCTCAGGAAGTTTGGCATTGTGGTTAAGCCCGAACGAGAAACAATGAGTGGGCGTGATCTGTTGTTAAAGTATGCGGACGATTTAATGCGAGAAAATCAAGTGCTGAAGTCTCGCATCTCAAGCGTGAAAATTGAATTTATCCCCTTCTTTAGGTTTCAGGGGCTTGGCGGTGCTATATATCCAGGTCGAGATTACCCAAAATTACGTATCGTTTATTCTGGAGAGCAATTCGGTGTACGCCACTTTGCCTTCGATACTGAGATTTACACTCGGCTTCCTGTTGGTGAGCCGAAGGTTCCGATGTTCTTAGCGGAAACAGGCGCAGAGATGTCCAATAGAGCTCTTGCCGATTTCGTGTTGGATCTGCAAGAGTTTCAGAGCACTCTCGCGAGAAGTGAACTTAACAGCAGAAGGAGATATTTTGACGAACTTGGATTTGCAGAAGGAGGTTTGGATCCTGAGAGTCTTGAGGCACTCGCAAGGTTTGTTATCTAACGCTTTCAAGTCTGCTGTTGCAGATGGGGGGCGGATGCAGGATATCTCCAACCAATGCCGAAACCATAGGCCGAAATGCATGTGTGTTTAGGGCCTAAACGTTGGTTTTTTACATCTCCGGTGTATATGAAGGGGGCTGTGATGAAGCAGGAACTAAGTAACTTGGTCGAATTCTTTAGTCATTCAGTTTTTACTTGCGCTCGAGATGCAAGCTCTTCATACAGGTGGCCCTTCTGTGAAGAGCAGCCTGCAATTGAGTTACCAGCCGTTTGACTTCATCGACGGTGTAGGGAGACTAGTTCTAAGTGTACAGCAGTTGATAAGCGAAATTGTGTAAGGTTTGCAAATTGTAAATACACTAGGAGACAAAATGAAGGCAGTTGGTACAGGAGAAACATGAGGAGGGAACCGAAGAAGAATGGCTTATGCCACTATCCTCCTTATTTTCTGGCAAAATTCTACAAGTTGTGGACGCCAATGGATATATTTGCGGGAGTATGCAAATAGTGAATATATATATATATATTTTTTCAGTTGGTTTTGAATAGCTTTTGGAAGCAGTGGCAACAACACAGTGTTTTTTCTAAGCATTCATCGTGAATTGCCACTGTAGAGTACCNCCCCCCCCCCCCGCCACGTATAGACGATTGCATCACGTGCTGCGTGCTGCGAACTGAATCTACCTACGGTAGAACAAGAAGGAAATATCTATTAACATTTCGGAATGGAAGCTTGCGGATTCCATGTATTATCCGGCTTCTTTTGGCACTCTTGCTACTGCTAGAATGCAACATTTCTTATTGCTTGCTGTATCGTGCCTTCTCTTTGCCTTCTTCTGAAACTTACAACAGAAGGGCAATAGGTTCAATTGTGACCGCTCTAGGTCCCGCCGCTGTTTGGCGACAATTTTTTTTTGCATTGAACAGCCCCACCGCTGTTCAGTAACCTGTTTGGTAACCGATTTTTGTTTACATTTATTTACATTCATTCGTTCAGGCCTCGATTACCATTCTTCCGGCTTTAAGGTGCAAGCTCTTATGTAAATTTAGTGTCAGTAAGCCTCAGTACTAGTCGATCAGGCATGAATTCAAGTTGCTGCGAAAGCTCTAGGGCGGCAACACACATAGCAATCATGATGAAACGGGAGAATTTGGCCTCCTGGTAGATTGGGAGAAATGCTGCAGCTAAAGTGGCTCAGCCGAGGCGGATGCAGGAAAGTTTTCGTAGAATGGATGTTAGGTCAGGATGTGAAAGCAGTCATTGCATACATTTCATTATTTTCCTTCACCTCAAAACAACAGAGTGCTTATGATATAGGGTTTAGCACGCAAGCAAAACCAACCCCGCAATTGTTTGAACAACTGTCTAGAGTTTCAATGCATGTTCTGCTGTACACATTAAAATTTTAGATAGCTGTTAAACACTTACTTGGCCCTCGTTAGCCAGCTTACACACGAGAAACACACGTACCAACTTCAGACGGAGAACGTCACCCCAGGCCTGTGTATCGCCTTGAAAAGGAAGCCTGGGGATTGGGAGGGAGAGTCAGTTGCCTTTTAGTTAAATAGCTGAGCCAGGCTCTCGATGCTTATAGCTAAGGCCGAAGACTATCGTTGCAGTTGAACTACAGAAACATACCAAATCATTACGACACGCGTATATGGACCAAGCTTCAGAAGAAACAAATGCTGAGGTGTATCGAAAGTGATCCTATTTTTGTTTTGCATAGTTCATTTGTTCCTGCTCTTCGTTCTCGTGACGCTGTGGCGAAGGGACCAGTAGAAAGAACCGAATCCCCATACATCTGCTCGCATGTATACACATGATCACTGCTCAGGCTTATTGACAAAGCAAAATGTTTTCCTCTTACACAGACTAACAAACTTCACCTGGTTTGCCTCTATTGCTAATGAAGTCTATTTCCGCCTCTCCAGGCGGCTAATCGTACACGACATCTCCGAAGTAGGCAGGGAGAAGAGCCAATAAATCAATAGCATTTAGACAAATAGTGAAAATATTTGTCATGTGATGTATATATTTCGGACATATTTCAGAACATTTTCCTAACAGATCTATAATTCTTTTGTTTCAAGCAACTTGAATTGTGGGGCCCCGCGGCGGGGCCCCCCTTCCAAACCAAATTGCCCCTTTATCTTTTCCTATTGTTTCT